GCACAATTTTTATCCATAAATATTCATTTTATTTCAAAAATAAAGTATTCAATTTGGTTTCACTCTTATTAAAGTTTTTGGTGCGATCTCATTAAAAAATAATATAGGACTAATTGGAAATAGGCATGTTTAGCTCATACTGTATGTAATTTTCATGCTACACATTCATACTTGATATATGTCATTTGATTGTATTGATACACGTGACTATTTATGAGTTTAGCTATATTATTTATAACGAAGACCAATTTGATCCTATATTGATATAATTAATGAATGAGATTGTTTTGGAGATACTTTTGATTTTGTGAGCTCATACGTTATACACATTTATAAGGTAATATATGTGGTCCAAGTGAGAGATTGTTGGAAAATTATTAATTTGTCATATGGATCTACCTATGTAATTAATTATGTATAAATGCTATCTTAAAATTAAGCCCATTTAAAGTGATCTAATAAAAAAATAAACTCATGAGCTTTGGTCGTCTAAATAAAATGTGGGCCTAAATATGTATCGAGGTCAGATTCCTTTAAAATAATATTTTATGATGGGCAAAATATATATGAAAAACTATATATATAGTTTTGGTCCTTAATTCATATGTGATTCTAATTTTATGCATCATCCCATCAATGTAAGAATAACAAGAGAGAATATACTGAAGGGAAAATCCAAAGCCCACAATCACAATTAATAATCAAGATGAAAATATTGAAACAATCAAGATTATGGAACAAGAAGCCAAAGTCAAAGAACAAGAAACCAAGAACTAAAAGAGGCAATATTCAAGATTAAAGGTTAAGAAACCAAATATAAAGGCATTGCGGTTGATCTCCAAGATTTAAAATTCGGAATCAAGATCAAGTAATAAAGAATCATTCTCAACAATTTAAGTTATGTTCTGCATTTAATAATTCTCTTGATAATTTGACTGGAGGATCTTAGCAATAAGATAATTAGGTTTTCAAGTTTTTGAGATTTAAAGTTTTGTAAAATACTAACAAATGTAACTTCAAGTTGTCGAGACTTTAGTTAATATTAGTAGCTACATAAGGTGAAGAGTTGCTTAAGGTTAAGATGGAATACAAATCCGCAGTATCTTTCGGCTCACCCGTTTATTGGGCTGTTAAATGGAAATTGAGATCTATATAGGATATCATTGGGACTCACCTTGGAAAGGTATTTGGGTCAAAAGCCCTTTCATTTTTAGGCAAACTTGATATACAAATTAATAACTCTTTATTGCACTT